TCCCAAATCCCTTATCAGCCAAAGCCTCTTTTCCTCCTGCCCCATTGTGATCTCCTAAGCAGCCACGAAATTAAAAGACGCCTGCTTCTTGGGAGAAAAGCAATGGCAAACCTAGACAGCATCAAAAAGCAGAGACATCACCTTGCCGACAAAGGTCCGTATAGTTAAAGCTATGGTTTTCCAGTAGTGATGTATGGAAGTGAGAGCTGGACCATAAAGAAGGCTGATCGCCGAAGAATTGATGCTTTTGAATTCTGGTGCTGGAGGAGACTCTTGAGAGTCCCATGGACTGCAATAAGATCAAACCTCTCCATTCTGAAGGAAATCAGCCCTGAGTGCTCACTGGAAGGACAGATGCTGAAGCTGAGGCTCCAAGACTTTGGCCACCTCATGAGAAGAGAAGACTCCCTGGAAAAGACCCTGATGTTGGGAAAGATGGAGGGCACAAGGAGAAGGGGACGACAGAGGACGAGATGGTTGGACAGTGTTCTCGAAGCTATCAGCATGAGTCTGACCAAACTGCGGGAGGCAGTGGAAGACAGGAGTGCCTGGCGTCCTCTGGTCCATGGGGTCACGAAGAGGCGGACACAACTAAACGACTAAACAATAACAACAAAAGGTGCTTTCACAATCACCTTGGTGGCTTAGGTAAGAGAGTTGCTTGGCAAAGAGTCCGTATTGTTTAATCTTCCCTTTGCCAGCAGTGCCACTAGTGCCACCAAACTGACAGTCCCAGTGACTGCCTTCTACCTCCTCTGCTGGAAAGCGTCCCTTCCTGAATACCAGTTTCCAGGAACTGCAAGCAGGGAAGGTGCCCTGTGTTGCGCATAAATCCTGTTTGCAGGATTCCTCGAGGCATCCCTGTAAGAACCCGGGGACCCTATGGCCTGATCCTACAGGGCTTATCTCAAGTTCTTACATAGTGCCGTGAAGCTGCATTGCAGTAAAATGAGTAAACCACAAACATTGGGAAATTGCTTTTAAAAAAAATAATTTTTTTTTTAAATTAATTTTATTTACAACATAAATCCACCACAACTTTATGCCTAAACTAAGTAGTTTAATATTTGATGGAAACATTTAAAATTAGAGGCATAACACATTAGAATTAGAACATAAGATCTGAAATAAGGTAATAAATTGCGGAACATAACTTTTGTCCGGAGAACGCAGGAAAGGGAGACGTGAGGAAGTCCAGAGGGTTATGAAAAATTGTATGAAAGGCTGTGATTTTCTATTTTTTCTTCTTTATATTTTCTTTGTCTGTTATATGTCTGGTGACTTTCTTCTTCTTAAAAAATGCAATAAAAATATTTTAAAAAAAAAAAAATCCACCACAAACTCAAATAAACGAATCCACCACCATTAACATAAAATAAACATAACATAAAATAGAACAAACGACAAAATAAAGACTTCCTTTATCCTGTACATGGCTCCTTATTTACTTCTTATAAACTGTTTCCTTTACGAATTCTTATTACGATTTTTTTCAAATTATGACTAAAACAAAAACCACAAAGTTTTCTGCGGGATATTAATCGAAACAAGTCCAGGTGTGTATTTTAGAGCACAGTTTCGTAAAGTATTCTTTACATTTTCCCCATTTCTTCTTGAAATTCTTGTCTGGGAAAGTCCCCTGATTGCCTCTGTGAATCTAGCCGATTCGATATAATTTTAGCAATTTATCCTGCCATATCCATTTCTGTTGGCACAAAATTTCTTTTATTCCAATGGGGGAATTGCTTTTGGATCTCCCTGCGTCTGTGCGCAGATTGGGCCTATGTCCCAGATACGTTGAGCCAGGGTCCTGCCACTGAACTGGATTAAGGGAGCTGACAGGGCTCTGTATTGCCCCAGCAATGACACCGCAGAGAGGCGAACGCATGTGTGCATCGAGACTTCCTGGTTCCTCCTTCCCCTCCAGTGGTGATAAAGCAGGTGTGGCCGCGAAAAGCCCTGCTCAACAGGATACAGTTTCCTGGTTAGGGATTTACAGTTCTCACCAGTGAAAACCAAAGGGTGATGCTTGTCTTATACAGAAGCGTGGAAAGATGCCAGCAGGCCGACTCCACCTTAGCCCTAAGGAGGCTGGAGGGCATCCTTTCTGAAGAAGAAGAAGAAGAAGAAGAAGAAGAAGAAGAAGAAGAAGAAGAGGAGGAGGAGGAGGAGGAGGAGGAGGAGGAGGAGAAGAGTTTGGATTTGATATCCTGCTTTATCACTACCCAAAGGAGTCTCGAATAGCTATTAACTACCCCAAAGAGTCTCAAAGCTACCTCCTTCCCTTCCTCCCCCACACAAACACTCTGTGAGGTGAGTGGGGCTGAGAGATCTTCAAAGAAGTGTGGACTGGCCCAAGGTCACCCAAGCAGCTGCATGTGAAGGGAGCGG